TCACTATTACCCTAGAATAGCAATCTCTATATTTGGTCTCTATAGATCAAAGTACTATAAATCCGGTCTTCATTCCACAATTAGCACTGACCCATGATTCTTTAATTGGAAACTAGATACAGTTATTAGCTTCTTCTGGAGTCTTGTATGAAAAAACACATGTCTTTGAACACTCATTTCAGCTAGATGTTCACCCCATGAGATGCCCTCAGGGAAGTGAGGCTAAGACTGCCTGAGTGAGTAGAAGAAACTCCTCTGTCCTCCTACCTCACTTGAAGCCATGCACTCAGAGCAGGAGGCAGATATGCCCCCCTCACTCCCATTATTTACATTTTCTCTCCTTGGGCACGGTGGCTAGCACCTGTAATCCTACCATTCTGAGAGGAGGAAGCAGATGGATTGCTTGATCCCATGAGTTTAAGACCAACCTGAATAAAACCGAGACCCCATCTCTACTAAAATAGAAAAACTGAGGCAAAAGGATCGCTTGAGTCCAAGAATTGGAAGTTGCTGTTGAGCTATGACACCCTGGCACTGTACCCAGGGCAACAGCTTGAGACTCTGTCTCAAAAAAAAATAATAAATAAATAATCTCTCCTTTTCACCCAAGCTCCTTGAGCTGGATTCAGGGAAGTGAAATGCTTTCTATAAGGTTCCACTACACTGGTTTTCAAGTGACTGAACTGTTCTCAGAAACTGAGGGCTGTGTTCATTCAACCAGGACAAAACTTACCTTTGATTTTTAGGAATATCAGGAAAGTAACTTTGTGGTGCTCATGGGGCCGAGGCATGGCCCAAGTGGGGGCACAAAGCTGTCTGTTTTCTCAGACACACAGTCCCTCTCTTCACAATTCCAAGAACAATTCTGTGACATTCTGGGCTAAACAGATATAACTTTGTTTATATTTTGGATACCCAGGGAGAGATAAAGGCACTCCCAAACTTCTTGCTCTTAGTTAGAATTCAATATATTGTGACTACTACTATTTTTATAGTGTTATTTTGAGTAACAGGATGGCTTTTTCTTATAATAATCGTAGATAAAACATGGGGCATTATGACAAAGACAAAGCCTTCCTCATGGGCTTTCTCTTGGGATCAGAAGATGATATACCCAGGCAGGAAGCCCCCTGATGTCGCTGGGGAAGAGCAGCAGATGAGCTACCATGGACCCTCAGGAGATGACATTGACCTTGGAAAACTTGCCACTGTCTGATCCAGGGCTTTGAGTCTCCAATTTGATTTTGTGAATGTCTCAGATGAGATGTGGCACTGGCAAACATATTTGTGTAAATGCTTCTACCAGTAGCTCATCTAAAAAGCAGAATCCATGCATTGCTTTGCTTGTCAAACTTTTACTACCGCTAGGCCTGAGCCTGGCCAGACCCTAGATTCTGGATATAATGAAGAAAACAGACTTGGTCCAGGCTCTTACAGAGCTTAGTGGGAGAAACACATAAACAGAGTGTTGCGACCTGGTGAGATGAGTATTATGGCGGAGGTTGTGCCGTTGCTATAGAAGCAACTAGGGGAGACACAATCCTGAAGGAAGTGTCATTTGACATGGGGGGCTGGCAGGAAAGGGAAAGAGCCAGCATGAAGGAAGAGTATCACAGGAAAGGGAGCAAACTATTGCTAGAGCAAAGTCTCAAAGAAACAGAACTAAATGTAAACCAGAATACAAAGAGGACACTGAGCTTGGCAGGAAGAGGGTCTCTTCTCAAAGCTGGGAGGAAGGCAGGAAGGGTGGTTAGGAACACTTAGCATTATAGGAACACATAGACTTATAGGCAGTTCTTCACTGAACAATCTGTTTGGGAGGCAAGGTTGATTGCCGAGAGTGAGGAGGAAGTGGGATTCAAGCTGTGACAAAGATTATCATAGATACTGTAGGAGAAAAAGAAACATGTTGGAATAAGGAAATAGGGGCAGTTCATCTAGAAGGATTAAAAGCCCAATTGAGGTGTGCCAGTGTGACTTTATTCTGACCCTAGCATGCAAGGTTGGGTGCTCTCCTGCAGCACCCACATCCCTAGTGAGATATAGAAAAGTCATTCACTCCCTTTCCTATGATACTCTTCCTTCATGCTGGCTCTTTCCCTTCCCTGCCAGCCTCCCATGTCAAATGCCACTCCTTTCAGGACTGTGTCTCTCCTAGTGTCTTCTATATCAATGGTACAACCTCCACCATAACACCCATCTCACTCATCTCACCAGGTTGCAACAGTTTATGTGTTTCTCCTAGTAAGCTCTGTAAGAGCCTGGACCAAGCCTGTTGTCTTCATCATAGCCAGAATTTAGGGTCTGGCCAGGCTCAGGCCCAGTGGCAGTAAAAGTTTGATGAACAGACAAATTCATTCAGTTCATGGTTTCAACAACCCTGTGCCACTGACCATGGAGGTGGATGAAGAGGCGAGTGAAGAGCAGAGGGAGATGACAGATGGAAGAAAAAACAAAAACCTGTTCCAGTGAGGGCTGTCACCATGCATCTACCACTGAAGTCAGAAACTAGTGGATCATTCTCAATTCCCCCTCAATCCATCAACTCCTATTTATTTATTTATTTTGAGATAGAGCCTCACTTTGTCACCCTCAGTAGAGTGCTGGCTATTTATTTATTTATTGTTTAGACAGAGCTGTCACCCTGGGTAGAGTGCTGTGGCATCACAGCTCACAGCAACCTCCAACTCTGTGCTTAAGCGATTCTCTTGCCTCAGCCTCCCAAGTGGCTGGGACCACAGGCACCCACCACAGCATTTGGTTGTAGTTGTCATTGTTGTTTGGCAGGCCCAGGCAGGATTCAAATCTGCCAGCTCTGGTGTATATGACTGGTGCCTTAGCTGCTTAGCGCTGGTGTATATGACTGGTGCCAACCCTGGCTATTTTTTTAACGATGGGGTTTCACTCTATCTGAGGCTGGTCTCTAACCTGTGAGCTCAGGGCAATCCACCCACCTCAGCCTCCCAGAGTGCTAGGACTACAGGCGTGAGTCACTGCCCCAGCCAATCATCAAATTCCTCTTTAATACAGATCAGCTAGCTATCTCTTTGTTCATCTACTTCTTTTCTTTTTCCCCTGGTCCTTCTGCTCAGCTCCCACAGAACTCAGTTAATTCCATGATTACAGGACAGGTCACTTTGCCTCAGAGTTGTTTTAGAGCTGGATTTAAACACTGCAATAGCTTCTATGACCAAAGAATAATTGAGTGAGGCTGCAAGGACTGTGGCACATTGAAAAGCCCCTTTCACTTAACAGGGATGAAGAGTGCTGCCATGAAGAAACGTGTGAGCCCAGTCATTTGCTAGATCTTTCTATATTCTTAGGAAAAACCTGAAATAGAGAAATATCCTGATTTTTAAATGGGGGGAAACTATTCAAATTTAAAATAAAACTGTTGAATTGTTTAGGGGGAAGTGGACTGATGTCTATACTTACTTTGAAATGCATCAGATGCATTGGTGGGTGGCTAGAAGAATGAATAGATATTTGATAAAGAAAATGTAGCAAAATATAATTGCAGCACCTAACTGATGCATATCTGTACGGTTTTTTTGTTTTTTTGGAAAAAGTCTCAGTCTGTCATCTTGGGTAAAGAGCCTTGGTTTCACAGGTCACAGCAACCTCAAACTTCTGGGCTCAAGCAATCCTTGCTTCAGCCTCCGGAGTAGCTCCATTTTTAGTAAAGACGGGTCGGCTCCTTGCTCAGGCTATCTCAGAACCCCAGAGCTCAAGCCATCTACCTGCCATGGCCTCCCAAAGTGCCAGGACCACCACAGGCACAAGCCATCTGTACAGTTTTTCCGTATGCTTGAAAATTTTCATAATAAAATGAAGTGAAAGGATTAGCAAGCTGTGGTATATGTATACCATGGAATACTATTCAGCCATTAAAAAGACAGAGACTTTACATCTTTTGTATTAAGCTGGACTGAGTTGGGATGCATTCTTTTAAGTAAAGCATCACAGGAGTGGAGAAGCAAGAATCTGAATTCTAATATGAAGGCAGTAGATGACCTAATACACAGTGGTGGGTAGGGAAATGAGGGAGTGGGGAAAGGGGAGGATGGGAAAGTGTGAATGGCACACCTCTTGGGGGTGGGACACAATTATAAGAGGGACTTTACTTAACAAATGCAATCAGTGTAACCTAATTCTTTGTACCCTCAATGAACCCCAAACAATAAAAAAAAAAAAGGAAATTTTTTAAATTGAAAAACAATTAGGAGCACATGAGCCACTACGTTGGTTGACTTCTGCTACAAATTGTAACTGACTTTATGAAACTGTGGTAGGAGTAAATGAGTTAATATAAAAGGCACAGAACAGTCCCTAGGACATTAAATGTTACTGTTATCATTTGGGAAATAGAAAATGGACACAGATTGAGGGAGAAGGGGGCAGGAGTCTAAATGGATTTCACTGAGGGTTTTCAGTGGAATTTCATTACAGTGCAAACCTGAAAAGTGTAGGGACCAGGGTTCCATGCTGGTTAATTTATGTTGCTGTGTAATCTTATACCTGTAATTTCCATCTCTGCACCTCAGTTTGCTTTTTTTTTTTTTTTTGAGACACAGTCTCAAGCTGTCGCCCTGTGTAGAGTACTGTACTGTCCCAGCTCACAGCAACCTCAAACTCTTGCGCTTAAGCGATTCTCTTGCCTCAGCGCCTGGCTCTACTTTTCCGTTGCAGTTGTCACTGTTGCTTTAACAGGCTCCAGCCGGATTCGAACTCGCCGGCCTCGGTGTATGTGGCTGGTGCCCCTACCCACTGAGCACGGGCGCCGCCACATTGCTTGTTTTTAAACTATGAGAATTGAACTCTAAGCTCCCCTGCAGTTCCGAAGTGGGCTGATGGACCCCCTTTCCTGTTTCTGCCTGCAGGAGTCTCCGTTACTCTCTTCTCCCTTAAGGCCTTCTTTCCGAAGTAAACTACATTTCCCATAAGCACACAGGAGTCGGCGCCGCGCAACTCTCCACCGTCGCTCCGCGTCCTTTATACCCACTTCCGCCCGCGAGCCACTTCCTTTCCTTTCGGCCCCGCGCGGCGGCGAGATGGCGGTTCAGATCTCCAAGAAGAGGAAGGTGAGCTTCTGTGGCTGGGCTCAGGGCACTGCGATACTGCGCAGGTTAAGGGCTTCCCGAGGTGCCGCCGTGAGACGCGCAGCTCCCTGCTCTTCCCTGGGAAGCGTCTGAAGCAGCTTGACATTCCCGAGGGCCGCGGATGGCGATAGATTGAGCGGAAGGCCCGAGCCAGATGAGCGCTGTGTGGCCCAGGGAGCGGTAGATTTCCGTGGATTCCCAGTAGAGTGCAGACGTAGAGCGGGACGCCTCTCCTGTCCCGGAGAAGGCATTTGTGGGCATTTCTTGGCTCCCCCCAAAAGGAAAAGGTAAACGTGTAATATGTTCAAGGCGTGCGCCTTTCCTCACATCTTAAACCATGGCATTGAGAAGGGGTGGTAGCCATGTGTTCATGCCTCACCAGTCGAGTCTGACCCCAAGACCTCAGTTGAAAGGCTACGGGTTATTGCTTGTTCCGTCTGGCACCTGGGGAGAAAGCTTCCTGGGGGTTAACTTTCTCGTCGTTTCGTGGAGAGAACTGTGTAAGAATCATTACCTTTAGAAATAGATGATTTGTTATTTTCTGTATATATAAGTCGATGTTAAGATTAGATGTACAACGCTCTCGTGAGGCTTTGCCAGCTCTGGTAGAGGTAAGCTTACAGGTATATTAGGTGAGGCAAGATCTTGGCTGGTGTGAGACAGCTTATGTCTTTAGTGCACTGTTAAGTTGTAAGCATAGTGTCCCTGCTGTGCTGAAAAAGTGTTATTGGCTTATTTTAGAGCACCTTTTTGTTTTGCACTTGTAAATGAATATAAATGATCCCTCATTTTTACAAACCCTTCAATGAAGAGATGATGACGAGTCTGACTTGGAGGCTTGTTATCTTTGTCCAGGTTGCCTACTCTGTGCCATGTTCTATGGCACAGTTTAAAAGGCACTGGGTGAAGTGACTTCCTAAAGATGACCTAGAGGCATTTGTCTGAGAAGGGTTACTCTTTTCTTGTTGGAAAAGGTTATTGAAACTATTGATAATGCTTCCTTAGTTGGCATTATTGAGTTTTGATGAAGGATGCTTTGACTGATGGACTAGAAAGTGAGCATTATATCCGTGTCCTAATTTTCAACTTTGCTTTTTTGGTTAGTTCGTTGCTGATGGCATCTTCAAAGCTGAACTGAATGAATTTCTTACTCGTGAACTGGCTGAAGATGGCTACTCTGGAGTTGAGGTCCGAGTTACACCAACCAGGACAGAAATCATTATCTTAGCCACCAGGTAAAAACTCACTTGACTCGGATGGTGCCTGTGGCTCAGTGGGTAGGGCGCTGGCCCCATATACCGAGGGTGGGAGGTTCAAATCCATCTCCAGCCAAACCGCAACAAAAAAATAGCCAGGCGTTGTAGGCCCAGGAGTTGGAGGTTGCTGTCAGCTGTGTGACGCCATGGAGCTCTACTGAGGGCGATAAAGTGAGACTCTGTCTCTACAAAAAAAAAAACAACTCAACCTAACTGGGCCATCACCTATAATTGTATATGCTAATGTGGTTTATTCTGTATAAACTTAAATGGACAACCAGTGAATCTAGCCATAGTGAATATAATTTATTGAAGTTTGCATTTTTAAAACTTTAACTTTGTTTTTTGTCATGTAAAATTTATACTTGCTTTGTGGCAGATGAATGAGATTTTGCTACCATGTGTATGTGCAAGATCTAAAGTTACATCTAATATTTTATGAGAGTTGTGAATTGTCACTTTTTTCCCCCCAGAACACAGAATGTTCTTGGTGAGAAGGGCCGACGCATTCGGGAACTGACTGCTGTAGTTCAGAAAAGGTTTGGCTTCCCAGAGGGCAGTGTAGAGGTGAGTGATTCTGGCTTATGTCTGCAATAATGGCTCTTTAGAATGGTGCTTTTAAAACTCAACATCACTTTGGAGACTTTATTTATTCCATGATCATTAAATACCACAAATGGACTGGTATTTTGTTGCAGTTCTCTTAATGGGCAAATGGCTTGACTTTACAGGACTATTCTGCAAGTGTCTTATGGTTAAAGGATTTTACATTCAATTTGGGTATAGAAGTGATGTGTGTGATGAACTGGCTACCTCATCGGTCTCCTTGGTGTAGCTGTAGAAGGGGGCAGGGGTGGGAGGGTAATGAGAAATGGTTCAGCCTATGTTATTGTGTACTCTGTGGCTGGTAGTAGTGATTTAGTACTTGAGGGATACTGAAATACATGTAGGTCACTACAAAAATTTTGAGAACATACTGTTAAGGTCCATTATTTCACTTCCAATAGCATCCTTTCTGATTAACCCAGGCAAGTTTCAACTTGCTTAACTTAATAGTGTTGCTGGGGGCAGTGCCTGTGGCTCAAAGGAGTAAGGCGCCGGCCCCATATGCCAGAGGTGGTGGGTTCAAACCCAGCCCCGGCCAAAAACTGCAAACAAACAAACAAACAAACAAAAAAACCAAATAGTGTTGCTGGGAGGGCTTCATTTGTTTACGTCTGCACGACTTTTATATTTCTTAGATTGTTGTGTATCTCAGAACTTTGGTAATGACTCAGGTACTATATGTGGTGTAGAAAAAGATGCTTTTATGACAGATGTGCTGGCTTTTAATTGAAAACAGTGGTAGAGGTAACAGGATGTGTATTGCTTCCTTTAAAGCTTTATGCTGAAAAGGTGGCCACAAGAGGTCTGTGTGCCATTGCCCAGGCAGAATCTCTGCGTTACAAACTCCTTGGAGGCCTTGCAGTGCGGAGGTAAGTGTCCTGAGGCTTGATGGTCATGCCTTTATATGCCTGATCCTAGCCAAAAGACAAGCTATAGTTGTGTTCCTTTTTGTGGATCAAAACATGGAGAATTTAAAAAATGCATGTGAGGGGTGGTGTCTGTGGCTCAGTGAGTAGGGCGCTGGCCCCAGCCAAAATACAACAAAGTAGCTGGGTGTTGTGGTGGGCGCCTATAGTCCCAGCTACTCAGGAGGCTGAGGCAAGAGAATTGCCTAAGCCCAAGAGCTGGAGGTTGCTGTGAGCTGTGATGCCACGGCACTCTACCGAGGGTGACAAAGTAAAACTCTGTCTCTTAAAAAAAAAAAATGCATATGCCTATGTTTTGCTACACCAGATTGCCTATATAACTGGCCTGGAGTATGGCCTTGGCATCAGAGTTTGTTTTTTATCTTAGCCTTTGTGATAATTCTAATACTCTAAATTCAGCAGGGTTGGAAAGTACTTGGTTAGAAGGAGCTTGACATAACATTCCCTGAAGAAACTTAACGTAAGATTGGGTATAATAGGCATGGAAGAGAAATGCAATTTCTTAGGCCAGACTGGTCATTAAAGGATCATTGGAAATAGTCAACATGGACTAAATCTTTTTTTTTTTTTAAATCTTTGTGAGATGGGTGGGTAAATTTGGTTATTCCTTGGTAATAACTCAAGTGGATGTCTCTTGTTTTTCTGAAGAGCCTGCTATGGTGTGCTACGATTTATCATGGAGAGTGGAGCCAAGGGATGCGAGGTTGTGGTGTCTGGGAAACTCCGAGGACAGAGGGCGAAGTCCATGAAGTTTGTGGATGGCTTGATGATCCACAGTGGGGACCCTGTTAACTACTACGTTGACACCGCAGTACGCCATGTGCTGCTCCGACAGGGTGAGCAGCTAGGTGGGAATGATTAGAACAGAGGGTACCTTAATAGATAGATGTGGTTTTCCATAGACTCCTTGGTATTTGAGGGCATATGTCTTGGAAGTAGCTGGGCATGTTTGTACTAGCTGATGGATCTGTGAGAATGGATTGCTGAGATCAGTCAAATCCAAGAGTTGGTTTGCTCTTGTCTTGGTTATCTGTATACCCTTCAGTGATGACACGATGACGAGTCAGAAAGGTCACATTCTGCTCTTGGTCCTTGTCAGTGCCACGTTCTGTGGTGCTGTGCATGGGTTCCTTTTGCAAAAGTGTCCTGTTTATTGATTGATTTAGAGGCATTTGTCTGAGAAGGGACCAGACCCAAGGATACTTGAGTAAACTCTTTTGTCCTTTTGTGTGTGGAGGCCAGTGAAAACCCAGCTATATCTAAACTGTGGTGTCCTCTAGGTGTGTTGGGCATTAAGGTGAAGATCATGCTACCTTGGGACCCTACTGGTAAGATTGGTCCTAAGAAACCTCTGCCTGATCACGTGAGCATCGTGGAACCCAAAGATGAGATACTGCCTACTACCCCTATCTCGGAACAGAAGGGTGGGAAGCCAGAGCCACCTGCCATGCCCCAGCCAGTCCCCACAGCATAATAGGTAAGTCTGCAGAGGTCTCTTGGGACACAGTAGGGTCTTTCCTGTTTTTTTCCTTTCTGTGAATACTTGTTCCCACACTGTGGTGAGCGTTTGGTGAATAAAAATACGATTACATTTGATTTTTTTTTTGAGAGAGAGAGAGAGAATATAGGCTGGAGCCTAGGGCCCATTTAACCACAATTCTGTGTTGTTTTCCTTTTGTTCTTCTAAGAGACCTTCCTTTTCCTGCTGTATATCAGATAGGAATTTTCCTTTGTTCACTCTTTTTTTTTTTTTCTTTGAGACAGAGTCTCACTATGACGACCTCGGTAGAGTGCTGTGGCATCACAGCTCACAGCAACCTCAAACTCTTGGGCTTAAGTGATTCTCTTGCCTCAGCCTCCTAAGTAGCTGGGATTACAGGCACCTGCCACAATGCCCAGCTATTTTTTGTTGCAGTTGTCATTGTTGCTTAGCTGTCTTGGGCTGGGTTCAAACCCGCCACCCTTGGTGTATGTGGCTGGCGTTGTAACTACTGTGCTACAGGCGCTGATCCAGTTGTTCACTCTTTTTTCACTTAAGATTTTCAAGGCACTCTTGGAAGTAATTAGCTGTCTTCCCTTTAGCATCTGTGAAACAGTAACACTAATCATCTTAGGCCCAACACATCTTTGTTTTGTTGTGTCCTAAGTGCTATGTGTGTTCTTTAACCTTGATGCAAACCCTGAGTGGGAATGTGTACCCATTTGGTAAATGAAGGAACTTGTTAACTAAAATGAAGTTTGTCTTAACTTACGTGCTTTATTTTGGTTTCAGGGTCTCCTTGACAGATGTATCCAGGAGTCTGGTATCCAGGAGTCTGGATGTTGCCTTGTAAGGACCTTTAATAAAGTCTTGTACAAATACACAGGCGGCCTGAGTAGACTGTATATCCAGGATTCAGACTGTGGGTATCATGTTGGCTTGTGGAGCACTACTCATCCTCTTGTTTTTAACCACACTTGTGGTATTTGCGAGGAAGGGCCAGAAGGCAAAGATTGGAGCAGAGTTGACTTGAGCAGAGTTAACTCGAGAAATAATCCTGTGCGATAGTGAAGGCTAAAGGCTAGTAGGGTGTACCTTTATTAATTGTCCTGTAGTTCAAGATTGTAGACTTACGATACTTGAGATTTTTTTCTCTTTATACATAAGGAAATTCATGTTGCACATGGAAAAGTAAACACAGTGACCACATTTTTTATACATACTGTACTATGTTCTTTATGTACATTGTCATTTTTAATCCTCTACATTAAGAGGATTATTATCCTTATGTTGTCATTTGATTCAACATGTCTATAAAGCATAAAGGAAATTTACTTGAACCACTAAATTTAAGGCCAGAAGTAAATGTATCTAAGCAGTATAAAGCTGTCATTAGAATCTTTTTCTTTTATACACAGGGTCTTGTGTTTTCCAGGCTGGAGTACAGTGGTGAGTTGTAACTCACTGTATGTATTCTTGAACTTCTAGGCGTAAGTGATCCTCCATTCTGCTGGGTTTGCAAACATGAGCCATTGTTCTGGCTAGCTCCACATTCTGATGTTCTGAAGTATTTTGTACTGATACCCATTATTTTGTAAGACATTGGATGCTCTTAGTTTACTCAGCAAAACTAGTGAAGGACTGGTTGCCTTAAAAATCTTACAAAACCAGTGATAAACCAGATCCTGATTGATTAGAGAGGAGACTCAACAGTGATAGCTGCCATGGGTCTTGGAGGCCCATACAGCTGGCTATATCCTGGTGGTGATGTAGCTTGGTGGGTGAAACAACCCTGGCTCCAAAGACTGCCTAGCAGATACTGTTTGATTTTTTGGTTGATTTCTCAATCAGACTGAGCTGCACGAGAGTAGATGTTGCACATAGTAAGGGCTTAATATTGAATTAATGAATTATGTTGGGAGCACACTGACAAAAGCATCTGCCTCTGTTCTCTTTTTAGCTATTGTAATTATAAACACAAAATTATCATCTCAACTATTTTTAAGTGGACACTTTTGTAGGGACAAATACCAAGAGCCCTGCATATCTGAGGGTTCCAAATCTGGTTTCAACCAACTTTAGACTTGGAGGTATTGAGAAGGTTGCATCTGTACTGAACATGTAGACTTTTCCTTAGTATTCCCTAAACAATACAGTTTACTAACTATATAGCATTTATATTAAAAGTAATCTAGTGGAGATTTAAAGTGTCATGTTGCCTAAGCTTTGTGCAAGTACACCGTGTATATAAAATAGAACTGGAGCGTCTGGGGATTTTGATATCTGAAGCAGGCGTTGGGGGTTCTCAGAACTAGTAAGGCTACTATATATTAACATTGTTGTGTAGCAGATCTCTGGAACTTGTCTTGCTGATGGATCTTCCCGCCCCTTTTTGAAGGAGCCTTTGGTCCACTTAAAGTTGCAAATATTGCGCATTTATTCTGTGAGGGAAAGTGCTATTAAGTTCCCACCAGGTGGTGCTATAACAAAGGAAATGTGCATTAAGAGTAGTGCCATGGGGAGGGAGAAATGATCTTGGTGGACTAGGATGTATGCATATTACTAATACATAGCTTGATGAGTCATCAAAGTGAGCATCCCTAGGTAACCATTTTAAAAAACCCAAACTCCTAAACTTTCTTGTAGCCAACAGTGGGGCTACAAGATTTATAATCTTATAAATCTTTTTTTTTTCTTTCTTT